ACAGGAAGCCAATATATACTCCTACTCATGTCAAAGTAATATAAGGCATATTGGGGTCAGACTAAGAGCTATAGAATGATTTTAAATCACCGAATCTCACAAGAATAATAAAAGAAAAGTTCTGCGAGATTAAGGTCATAAAATCAGGAGAAAAAACAGGCATCTGAGCCACTTTGCATCCTTAAAGGCACATGGATTAACTTTTGGCCAGTAGGGGCACTAGACCTGTAAGTTTCACGTCTAGCGCTCCCTAACAGCTTTAGTTTGTAGCCTGTTAGCTTTCTCTACCCGTATTTTGCTTCTACCAAACATCAAAAATAATAATAAAGATATATGACTGGAGCAAAGTGTTACATTACCAGTCTAATAATAAAGTGAGAAAAGATAATTGGTTTTACACGCGGCTACTTCTTTCAGCTTGCAACGAAAAAACTCCTTTCCGATACTTGTTTTTCCACGATCCCTTTCCTGTTTTCTCTTTTTTATGACTGAGTTTTAGGGCCAGGCCAGAGATTTTTTTTTTCCAATTCCGAGAATAATGTCGTAACATTACGAGAATAATGTCGTAACATTACGAGAATGAAGTCGTAACATTACGAGAATAAAGTCGTAAAATTATGAGAATAAAGTCGTAAAATTATGAGAATAAAGTCGTAAAATTATGAGAATAAAGTCGCAACAAGAATAGTCATAAAATTACGACAATAAAGTCCTAAAATTACGAGAATAATGTCGTAACAGTACGAGAATAAAGTCGTAAAATTATGTGAATAAAGTCGTAAAATTACGAGAATAAAGTCATAAAATTATGAGAACAAAGTCGCAACAAGAAGAGTCATAAAATTACGACAATAAAGTCGTAAAATTACTAGAATAAAGTCGTAAAATTACGAGAATAAAGTCGTAAAATTACGATAATAAAGTCATAAAATTATGAGAACAAAGTCGCAACAAGAATAGTGATAAAATTACGACAATAAAGTCGTAAAATTACGACAATAAAGTCATAAAATTACGAAAATAAAGTCATAAAATTACGAGAATAAAGTCGTAAAATTACGATAATAAAGTCATAAAATTATGAGAATAAAGTCGCAACAAGAATAGTCATAAAATTACGAGAATAAAGTCGTAAAATTACGAGAATAAAGTCGTAAAATTACGAGAATAAAGTCGTAAAATAACAAGATAAAGTCGTAAAATTACGAGAATAAAGTTTTGTTTTGTTTTTGAAAAAATGTTAAACGTTTTAGCCATGACCTTGGTTCCAAAGTTATACCATGCTGCTTTAAAGTTATTTCAGGCTATATACTCTGAGTCGCATCAATTAGTTCGCATATTTTTAAGCTAATAATAGAAAATAAATTAAAAAAAAATACCAAAAACACACTACGTATATTTCACAAAATACTGCAGAGAAGGGTAATGGGCTGGTTACATCAAACCCTCAAAGAGTTCATATTATTAGTGGAGGCTTTTCTTTGTTGTACAGCAGCTCCAATAAACATGTCTCCTCATTAAGAGGAAAGATTTACATTAAAAAGCAGCTTCGGGCCTCATTATTAACCTAGTTTGGTTTCTCCGAATTGTATTTTTAAATCGTTGACCTAGAAACAGTTCTTCCTTGTCTTTCACACACTCGCCAACAAAAGAAGTGAAAAAAATGATGCCAGATATGCACACGTGTGTGCAGTTTTCAACAGTTCGTTAAGATCGCTCCTGTTCGGACCTGCCCCAGCTCTGCTCACCAGTAACCTGAGTCACACTTTAACCGCCTCGCTCTACAGGAAGGCAGTGCTGGGAAGCGTTATTTATTTCCTGCTCGTCACAATCAGCAGCTCTGGGACTTCTGCTTTGTCTCAGTCAACAGTAAAGCAAGCCACCACAGGCAGGCGAGGAGCCAGTGTTTATTTTCACCACTACATGCCCAGTAACACTGGCACTTACCCCACCATCACACACAAACAGGCAGGGTGGGGGGGGTCTGCCACAGCTCTACAGTAGCAACAACCCTCCAACTCAACAGGTGCTGCTATTTACTTCTAGAAAGGGCAAAAATATGTTCATTGGGATGGATAGTGGTGACACAGATAAATGAAAATAAAAAACAGGGAATACTTTCCGAGTGGTGCACGACTTTACACGAGTGAATAAAGTGAAT